TTGTCTGTAAAGTCGTGTAAATATTAAAAGCGAATTATGTAATTTAGAACAATCTAACCAACAATTTACTATATTTAACAATTTCATGATAATCAATGAACAAAAATAATTTCTTTACTCCAACAATAGATTTACTGTAATTAATAAATAATTTAATGGTATAAAAATAATTATAATAGTAGCCTACCTTATTTTATAATTCGGGAACGTAGGAACCAGCCGGAAAGGCGCCTCACCAGCCTTCTTCGTAATCTTGATAGATTCCACTCTTCTATGTTATAATTGATTCCGTTATTTACACAGTCGCTAATTGCCTTACTAACCCAAGAGGCAAGAAGGTGTTAGCTTGCAATTCTAAATAAATAATTTAGATGTACCAAATTCGTACCAGTGACCTAGATAAAAATTTATAGATACTCGATATGTAACAATACCAAAAGCATTTCTTTAACTTGCAAGAGTTGTTACAAAATTTCGGATAAATTGCAATGTGAACGTCATTTTAATGACGACAGTGATAGACATTAATGTAATTAAACCTCCAAGTTTGCAATTTGAGTATATGTATTGTGTAAACTTCCACTTATGACCAGATTAATTAATCTGGACAGCTACATACAACGTATTGACGTAGTTGTATTGCTTTAATGGAACGTCCTAATCCAATCATAATTTTGAAAAAAATGCACTGATTTATCATTCGAATATTTAGTATATCTTCATAAAAATAAATAAGTACGATCACTTATCGAAAGAAATTCAGTACTTGTAATATCAGTTGAATTATTATTGATTTGTAATTTCTTTTCAGGTGATGAATAGGAACCGTGAATCATATCATTTGGAAATAAGTACATCGTGAAAATACTGTTTTCAAACCTTTTGTTTCGGCCGCTGCAAATGCCCGCAAGCGCAATGTTTTCCAAATTCAAAAGCGGCGCAGGCGCCCAAAGTCCATTAGACAATAATCCTATTGGGCAATTTTTTGAAATTGGAAAGCAAGTGGCTAGCGCTGGCCCCGAATTGGTATGGAAAATTCATGACGCCTATAGGAAAAGCGACGGAAAGGTAAGCTTTACTAACTCATTACTTGTTTCTATGGACATTCATATTACAGTGTTAATAAATAATAAGCACTGATGGAATTTGTGAACATTTTCCTATTAAAAATGCTTATTTATTTAGTGTTCAATTTAATGTGAGTTTACTAACTTCTACAGGCTCTCCCGCTTTTTGGATAGTAACAGTTTCGAAAGGATATAACAAATCTTGGGTACTCAAGGCAAAAACTAATAAGGGTTTCATATTTAAATAGATACTAAAATAATATTGGTTTAACAAATTTCGTTCCTATTTATTCCTAGACCGATCAAGCTGTCCCTTGGCCTGCAAAGGAACAGTTACTTTTAAATTAATTAATATTCCCCCTTTTCGTTTGTTTTGGGGAGGAAATGTCCGCTTGAAGAAGAAATTTACTCTATGAACGGATCAAAGGGTTCATACAACCTTCAAAATTTCCGTGTTGAAGAAGTGGAGTTGAACATATTTCACAGTTTTCCGAATATTGATCCTCATAATTCGAATCCTTAATATCGAGAGCCTAAATCTGTTCAATCAAAGCCACTATTGGGGTTGAACCCCTTTGCCTGAGTTTCGTGTATAGTCCTGTATGTAGTAAAGTTTGTGAACGAAATGTTCTCAAGTCAAAATTTTTTATGATGGATATAGGGTAGATGGATGCTGAAATATGGTAGAAAAGTGATTTCAGTTGCACCCTTAACTTTTTAACGATTCATCAACTCAATTCGAATGGAAAGAACTTCTAATTTCTACTCAAGATTATCCAACTAAAATATTTCAGAAAGATTTGCAATGCTACCAAACCAGTCAAATATTAATGTTCCTATCTCAAATTCAAACTCTTTCAGTTCGAAGACGTTATTGGCATTAATGAATAATGATCAACTATTCCAACAAGATATACACATCTGCATATATGTACGTACATGTAGAGGCGGGAATGGGAAAAGCTTTCCCCATGGGGGAGAGGGGGTGTAAGAAAAGCTCCCCACGGCAAGTGCTTTTAAATTTGAAAGCAGGCGTATTGTTTTATTGGATACTGTAGTTTAGACTACTTATAGTGTGAAAAGGCCTCTCTGATTCCTTTTTCTTGTACCCCTTCCTAGACTCCCTCCAGGGCACCAACATTGTTATATTAAGATACTAACATTTTATAAAATAACCCTAAATAAATCGGTTGTCTGTAAAGTCGGTTTACTGACGATAGTAGAACGTGACAACGTCATAAGAAAATACTGATGGAATGGTTTCATTTTTCAAAAGAAAATTTAAATTTATTTTGTTTGATAGATATTTTGTATGGATATAGAGAAGGAGGTAAATGGAAATGTATTATTGTATAGCAGCTGTCCACGCGGACGCATCGCTCACTCAAGTAGGAGAGAGACAGATGTTGAACGCTGCCGAACGCGGAGGCCGATTGTGCCTCTTTGTCGCTCGTTCCGCGCTCTCGCTTGCACTTCAAGCCTTAAATGGAACGCCTCAGAGCGAGGTAACGCCGCATGAGTCATGTCTTTTCGTGCGTGCAGCCGGCTCTATCGAATTATAAGACGTTGTCACGTCAAAAATTGTTGTCTCTTGTTTTAGTTTTTGTACCTCCCCCAATCGGGGAAAGCTTTTCCTATCCCCATTCTCGTTCCCCTTTCCCCTTCCGTACCCACTATTATACAACAGGTTACTAAAGTAATCCCCAATTTACTTTATGTATCGCCTTAACAGTTTATTTTTACACGGTCGTATGTCTAAAGAATGGTTTGATGCGTTTCGTGTAAATCGTGGCGGTTTACACCCCTTCCGGGAGAATTTAATTAAAAGATAGAATAGAAGAAAGCATCTCGGTGATACATTTGAACAGTGAAAGCCCGCGGACGTGACAAATATCGAGTGAATGAAGCAGAAGCTTACACGGAAGATGGAACGGTACGGATTTTAAACGACTCGCTGGAAATAATAGTTTTATGTCATCTTGTTGGAAATCGTTCGATTGGAAAACGTCTCGAGATCTTCGAAGACGTATTGAAAGAAAGATAAACGATGTGAAGTATTTGTCTAAAACTTAATTTCGTTAGCTTACCCTGGACAACAAAGCTCATGATTTTGTGTTGAATGGTTTTAAAACTTATTGTGTTCTTTTATATACACTAGTGGCGACTTATGTACCATACATATATTCTCTTTTATGTAATCGTCATTTGAAAGATACAGGATGTGTTGATTCCATATATCACCCTAAATAAATTTATGACACAAACGAATCCCTGAATATTTGAAAAAGCACTTAAATTAAAAATGAAAATTATTTCTTGAGGGTGTGTGGGCGGGACTTTCATCCTATGCCCTTCAAAATCAAAGACAAACAAAATTAATGAACAAAAACTTCATTCGTCAAAAATTGACCCCCCCCCACGGAAATTTTGCGGGAAAAGTAGGTATCTAATGGCGAACTGTGTAAAGATATATATGTAAACAATGCTGATTAGCCTGCAAACTTTACATGTTTTCTAGAATAAGAACCTTATTATCCCTAGTAGGAGTGATTTACGACAGAAGTGTTCAAACTTGGGATAGTTCGGGAAAACCCCTAGAGAGAACGGCGGGAGAAGAAATATTGCCGGTATATTGTATGTATACCACGTAGCATATTATAAGGTTTTAATGTCATTTAGATTTATTTTGCTATTATTATATAGTGTAGCATCAAGATTAGGTGTACAGAAAAAAACAAAAATGTTGGCTGCAAATTAGTTAGACAAGAACAAAGTAACTATCATTTATGTATAACTAGTGACCCGCCCCAGCTTCGCACGGTGCAATGCTGATACTAAATATATTTTTGTTTTGTTTAGATTATTATCGAAAAGGGGAAATCTTCAAATGATATCCCCTGAACATACTAAATATACTACAGAATGTCTTTATATACAACATTCATAGTTTTTTTGTCATTAGACAATACAAACTGGCCTCCCGGTCGGTACCGCCGCAACCGCTATGTCCCTGCATTTTAAATCTGTAATATCTTCGAAAATATTCATTTAAATTAGATGCTGTAAAGGGCCATATTGATCTATATTAAATGCACAATGTATTTAAAAGTACTTAATTGGATAAGGATTAATGCTGTATTGCTTAAAATCGCTTCGTAAATAAGCCATTATTTCTCGTAAAAAGTAAAGGATAAAAAATGGTTATTGTGGGTTATCCCTAAGAGATAGACATATACCATCCCGGACTTTTTTGTAGACCTTTTTAAGGTGTACAATACTGTAGTATATTATTTTGATCTATCTCGTAGGGTTCAGCCAGCGTTTGCAATGTAAGCGCAAAAAAAGTGTTTATTTACGACATCACATTAGAAACCTCTAAAATTATCAGTGTTTCCCTACTATATTATGCATGTATTATACATATAAACCTTCCTCTTGAATCACTCTATCTTTTAAAAAAAACCGCATCAAAATCCGTTGCGTAGTTTTAAAGATTTAAGCATACATAGGGACAGACAGCGGGAAAGCGACTTAGTTTTATACTATGTAATAAACAAACTGCTATCTACCTTGCAAAAGGGCCACCAACCAAGTTAACATTTTTCCCTCAAGTTAATTAACTGTAACATAATAATAATAATAATTGCCTACCTTATTAATTCGAGAACGTAACAAACAGCCGGCAAGCCGCTTCACCACCCTTCTTGGTGATCATGACTTTCACTCTTCTATATTACAATTGATTCCGCCATTTGCACAGTCGCTAATTGAATAATAATAATAATAATAGTCTACTTTATTGTATAATTGGGGAACGTAGAAAATGGCAGGGAACCATCATAGGGTGAGTGAAGACAGCATGCCGCCTCACCACCCTTATTCGTAATGTTGATGGATTTTCCAGTCTTCTATATTATAATTGATTCCGTTATTTACACAGTCGCTAATTGCCTTACTAATCCAAGAGGCAAGAAGGTGTTAGCTTGCAATTCTAAATAAATAATTTAGATGTACCAAATTCGTACTAGTGACCTAAATAAGACTTTATCGGATACTCGATATGTAACAATACCAAAAGCATTTCTTTAATTCGTAAGACTCCTTACAAAATTTCGGATAAATTGCAATGTGTAGTCGTAGGCTTTCGCGATGTAACGTAAATTGATTGTAAACTCTTTTCCATAAAATTTCTGTTTAACTTACTTTGAGTTTCTTTGTACTGTATTATTAGGGGTAGCAATGCTGTGGCTGAGAGGTGATAATTTCCTTTTTTCATTTTCATTCTTTTTTGGCTGATACCGCCACGTTTCGGAAAATTATGTACTAACAACCACCCAGTCCATTTTCGTGTTCTGCATTAAGAATTGCCTAAGCTTGCGTTTATAAAATGTAGTAAACAACCGAAGCAGTTAAGCCAGTCTTGAGGTGACGCTTTAACGTTATTTGATATTGGGCGAGAGATAAGGATGCGTCAGAAGGTTTACAAGATTACTGATGGGGTGCGCCGTTTTTCGCCGGAAGGGATACAACTCACTACACATCTACAGCTTACCTAAAACATTGCGAAGAACTCCGACGCCCTGATCGATTTTTACCCTATTAATCTACCATAATCTCTCAAATTATTGAATGTGATAGTCAAACCGAACAAATAAAAGAATCCTGCCAACCTTTATCCAAGCCCTTTCGTAATGAACATGAGGTCAACAATATCTTTTTTTTTTTAAGAGAAACGGTTTTCGAGCACAAGTCAAAATCAAGAGTAGTGATACGAAGAGCATTTAGTATTGATCCTTATTTTTTAGACTAAAGTTTCATCTATATTACAGCTTAATAAATAAAACTAAATCTTCGTGAAAGTATTGAACTTTGACTTATTTTGTTCATTAATTACGGCTTCTAAAGTAGACCGAAACTTATTAACTCGTAACTCTCCCGGACTTTTGTTCTTTGGTTCTTTTCCCTTTTTTGTCGGTTCTGATAATCTGGATTAAATGGACT